CAGGTCCCACAAAATGAGACTGACCTGTTACTTGAAGTGAATTAGCACAAGTGCAAAATGCCCCTCTGAGGCGAACGGAGCCTAAAATGTTCTCAAGCAGTACCCTACCAAGAGCAGAGCCAACGCTACTTACAATGAGGTTCGCGGCCACGCCTTACCAATCGCTGGGAATTGGAGTGTATCCGATCTCAGTCACTCGGCCTGGGAAAAGTGAACTAATGGCTTGTCGGAGTAAACGAAAATGGCTATTTGAAGCATTGCTGCTCTTCCCACTTCTGAATGAACCCTGCGCTTAGGATCCTCCCTCCTCTCGTGGTAGATACGACCCCCGTTGTGACTTCGACAACGACGGCGTGCCCTGCTCACCCTTTCATCCCTCTTCCGCAATTCTTCCAGTTTCCTGCCTTTCCTCCTGCACTTTGGGAATATTCAGAAATTTCCAAAAATGATTCAACAACTGGAAACATTTTTCTCTAAGGCAAATATGACCGCCTTCTCCAGCAGCCAATGCACCCCTCGCTGGAGATCCTCAACGTACGACGTACATTGAATCTATTTCTGAAATTCGCTGCCCGATAAATTTTCCTGCGAATTCTTTTTTTTTGATCAGGATTCAAAATCTCTGACATACATTCCCCCGCTATCCTGGTACGATCTCATTTTTACTGTTTTTTTTTCTGAAGGTTTGCGATGAAGCGCGTGGCAGCGGGAACAAAATACGACGGTGCAAGCAGAGACCGACAGGAGTGAAGAATTGCCTTTTTGTGACGGTACAAGGTACGTATTTGACTAATTCGGTTGGGTCGCATCTAGATAATTGGCGGATGTGAGTCAGCGCTCGGTTCAGTGCACTTTCTTGTACCACAGGTGACACTCTGGGCTGTCTGAAGTTTCTTGGGCGTGTTTCTGTGATTTTTTTTCCGACTGATTCTGATGGCTCAGGACCAATCGGCCAGAAGGCATTGCAGTGATAGGGAAAACAGTAGTGAGCGCCACCTTCTCGGTCTACCATGCACAAGGTGTTCTCAGTTAGGCGGTCATGTTAAGCGCACGGAATCGTCGTGTGGATCTCATCACAGGGTCGTATTCAGGCCGCTGAGTACCCCCCTGTCGCGCTCGACAGCGGAATTTCGGCAAAATTTGGGCACCGCCACGCGCGGCGATGGGCGCGGCGTTTTCATAACTCGTTTTAACCTGTCGAATGAAGCACCGGACTTCATGTAGACCCCGTCATCGTAGACACTCATTACTGTTTTCGGTCCTTAATTGCATGTTGTCGCCATCTACTGCCTGAAACCATCGTCCTTTGCGGGCGGGACGTCGCACGCGACGCCCAGCAGCGCGGCAAATTACGATCCTCTTGCACACATGCCCAAAATTTGGATAAGGCCGAATGTGTTGGCGGTACGTCGTGGAAGAATGGCTATGCGGACCCTCCTTTCGTGTACTCGTGTCGACTGTTATTATAAAAGTCGGTTTGCTGAGAGAGTTCTGAATTAGTGTGAATGAAAGCGTATGGCCTCCCTAGGGCCTACCAAGCTTTTTTTGGGCGTTACATGAAGAGCTTAGCAAAAGGTTACATTCGAGAGTCGTATTGGGCTCCTATTAAGGGCACTAAAGAGTAGGGTTTCGTTCCCAGGAAAAAAAAGTCTCCCAATCCCTGCTAACCTGAAGTGCCTTGGCCATGCCTCCGGGAATTGCACTTGAACCTCATGGAGGAATGCATGCGATTCAAATGTGCTCTCAGGCGATACAGTGGTGTGCGGAATCTATCAAGCGTAGAAGTCAATGTTCTTGTCTTCCCAGACAAGTCTGATACGAACTAGGGCGGAGTTCGGCTTCTGGGGGTAGCGAATGACACTAATTGTAAGTATGTACAGGTCAACTTGTGAAGACCTGCAATTTCCCGTGACGAAAATGTCACTCCCACCATTATTCCACAGGTTCTCAGGTCTTATCAAGGTGAGACTTGTTACCTAACATGAACTAACAGAAGGAACTAGCGGGGGTGCTATTTCCTTCTGTTAGTTCATGTTAGGTGACAAGTTTCACCTTGAAAATGTCCCCTCCATGCCGAACAGCAAAGGTTATACTTTGACTTGTATTGGGTACTTCTCGAAACCAGTCCTTGCAATGTTGTAGCTCCTTCTTTGTAGATGCCGACGTCGTAGATCTGGCTGAACGAATGGTCACGCATGCCCAGTCATCAAGGCAATGTCGGTATCTACAAGTGAGTTTTCTTTCACTACAAAAGATTATAGCTGAGCAATTACAATACTGCCTCATGAGTGCTAAGTCTTATCTGAGCGCAACAGCGCTCAGACTGAACCCTAGTGGCAAGCGTCAGCGTAAGCGTTGCGTAAATCGTCAGTCATCATCTATCATCCTCATGCATGGCGTATTCTCAACATTCAGAGATTGTTCAGGCTCACTGCTAGGCCGTTTTTTTACGAGTTTCTGTAGTAGAGGGTACCAGGAAAGTTGGGCGTCATACAGCTGGTATACGCTCCATATTCGGCTTTATTTTCGAAACATAGAGGCGCTTGGATTGGATGTGCACCCTCAGCGTGGCTCGTCGTTCGTTGAGAAATCCCAAAAAGAGGATCGAATTTGGTCGCTGGAGAGGAGGTGGTTGTATACGGCTAAGGGAAGAGGTAAATAACACAGGTGAAACGGGAAAAACTGAGAAAAGTTGACAAGAACAAAAACTTTTCTTCAAAAGCAAGCACACCCCCCCTCCCTCTCCCCCTCCCGAAGGCCAAATGCGGTCTCATGTTGGGGATCCCTAACGTACGACGTGCCCTGGCTATCTTCTCCTCCGCTCCCTTCTCAATAGCCACGGGTGTTCGATACTGTAATGGGCGATCTGTAAGAGAGACTTGTGCCAGAGGGGAAAATTGGGGGAGGGGGGTACTCAACGGCGTGACTTTGTTCTCCATTGACCTCTAAGGACTAATAATATTTAGGTAATAGCTTTTACTCCCAAAGATCGTAGTGGTAACAACCAACGCCTGTGGGAAGCTTAGTCAGCTAGGCTGGGTCAGATCTTCTAGGAATTGCCCGAGGCCTCGTGGCTACTGAGTTAGCTTACAAGCTCCATAGTTTGACCCCTGACAGTGCCAGCCGCCATTTATCTCCGACTCCCCCCTCCTTTGTTGAGTGATCTCAAGAACACAAAAAGAAGTGTAACTCTCTTGAAGGCAATGTCTTGGTTTTTTTAGCGCGTTGTTCAGCGAATTTAAAGTACAAACGTCGTCAGACTCAGTGTACAAGGCGCAAAAAAGGTTGAAACATGACATGTCACGCTCTCACTGGCTGTCTCGACTGTAGTCTATTCCTTTGTGGGGTGAGTCAGCGTTTCCCTATGAGGGGTTGGAAGAATACTCACAGGATATAATGTTTATTACTTGCGAGATGGTGGTAAGGCTTGACCTGCCTAAAGTGTGTGAGTCGGATTGTATACCTGAAGAAATGCCCAAAAAACTTAACGATCGTAGTTCGTGTTTCTCGCGATGCGTTGGTCTGCGTTGGCGATTAATGTGATGCTGCAATGCGCGCTAGTTTCTGTCAAGGATTTTTTTCTATACAGTATCCATAAGGGGCAGAATACCTCCAATTACGTATGCCACGTAGAAGGGAAGTGTGAGGCAACCGCAGTTTCTTCCCATTGACATTCACCTATCTTGCAGTCGTCAAAAAAGAGATCACCAAAACGAGGAGCGTGACTCCCCGTTACCGTCAGCTTAAGACTCGACCAATTACAATTTATTTGTCGTAAAATGGGTTCAGCGATCTGGCCTCTGTAATGAACCGCGATAAATAAACCGTAAAGAATCTTATAAAAAATAGAAAAATACGAAAGATGAAAATAATAACCAATAAGAGAGATCAGAATCGTAATACGAAAAAGGAACCTCAAAGACGCAAAAATAGAATAAAAAAAGTACAAAAAATAATAGACAGATAGAAGTTATATAGTAGGCATATACGAGCTCTGCCCTCCCGCCACATCCTAAGTTTCTCCTTAATGCGACCCCCTCTTTTTCCCCTTCTTTCCAGCACTCCTTCCATTTTAACAAACTTTTCCAAAACTTTTCCGCTGCGCGGCTGGGATGGACGCCTCCGATCAACTATCAGAAATAGCAGTCGTGCCGCAACTGCCAATGAGGGCGTAAAAACGCGATAGACCAACATCGGCAGTCATTTTTATTTAGGCCGACAACAACCCCGCGATGGTGTACGTCGTATGAATGTGCCCTGCTGGCTGAATTATAAGAACGGCCGTAATGGACCCCCCCCCCCCCCCCCCCCCCCCCCCCCCCCCCCCCCCCCCCCCCCCCCCCCCCCCCCCCCCCCCCCCCCCCCCCCCCCCCCCCCCCCCCCCCCCCCCCCCCCCCCCCCCCCCCCCCCCCCCCCCCCCCCCCCCAATAAAAAGCTGGGTTCAACCTTTACGGTTTGAGAATCGAGACTGGACAGGAGCCGTTCCGTTGTATCTCCCTTGAGTAAGTCGGAATCGATCAATTTGTATCGTATATTTCCCTCGAACTCTTTACGACGCAAAGTATAAACTCACCCTAAGAGCGGCCGTCGCTGCTGCAGCGTCTGCCAGCGTAGTTCTCAAACTCTCCGAAGAAACAGTGCCATTTCAGCGAGTGCTGCCAGTAGAAGAGACGGCTGATGTGAACCTGAAGAAGCTGAGTGATATGATAACAAAGGTGATTTCTGTTCAAGGTATTTGGTTGGTTTCCGTTCTTATGAGATATCTTGGTCGCGTTTAAAATCCTTTTTTTTCAGAAGTGGCGAAGCATTTGAAGGCTAGAGATGACGGCTCGGTACCGTCATATGCCTTAGAATTCAAAGCACGGAATAATGATTCCATCAAGAAGTCCGACGTGTTGGAAATGCTCGGCGATGCCGTCAATGCGATTGCTCCAGCGGCTAAAGTGGACCTCTCTGGTTTGTAAAAGTTGAAAACCACCTAGTCCGCAGGATTGTGGGAGCAGGGGTGACTGAAATGCCCCGCCTAACGCGCCTGAACGCAGTGATGATCGCAGGAGCGCGTCGAGACATCTGTAATTCACACGAAGCCGCATCGGGAGGCCCCATCTACACCTCCATGGTGAACTGCATGCTCAACAGTTGCCCTCCTTGACTGTATCGCACGTCGTTCATTGGGTGTTCTCAGCTGGAAGGACGTATTTGGTCGGTAGAGGGAGGGTGGTCGTATTTGCCTCTGTGGAAATGGTTTCAACTGTTGACTTTTCTTGTTTTGTTCTGTACTTGCGCTGTATCCCCCTCTCGTTTCCCTCTCGACGGCAACTTCCGGGAAAAACTAGAAATCGCGTTATAAAAACTGGAAAAATGTCTGCAGTTGGATAGTCAGCGAGGTGGGGGGGGTAGGCTGAGAGGATGGGGAAAGGAGGGCTTCCTACTAGAGGAGGGAATTTCGAGGGGGGGGGTCATACTTTGCCAAGATTTTCCAACGGAAGGACGTGCTCTGCTCACTCTAATCTACTCATTTCCTGCCCGCTATTCTTAGGCGCAATTAAACAGCCATTGTGTGCATTCTCTGAAAGACCTTGCTCTGTGTTGGATCTTCACTGGAGCCTATGAATGATCTTGAAAGTGGACAATCCCACGGCCCGATCACGTGAGCGGAGTCGAACGTATCACTGATTTTCCCTCATCGCTACGCTCTTCAGCCGGCGTTCACAGCGCGAAATTCGAGCTGTTCAGCTGCGCGATTGCGACTGACTGCGGGCGCTTTCAATTAAAAGTTTACCTTTACAGTTGACTCAGTAATCGACTTTGGGCGTTGACAAATAGGTCGGAGAGGGGAGGCAATTTGCACTTTCGGCTACTTCTTTTTTTTTTGCTAACTGCTCTCAAATACTCGTCTCACGCTGCGAATTCAGACCTCTGAACGGCATGCCGAAGCCTCTGCATGGCTAATCAGTTTTACAGGAATTTACAGTTTGCAACAAGAGGCATTGGTAGCGACCGATGGGAGCCAGCTGAATGCCTCCACCAAGCCAAGCCGCGCCTATCTTTCTCCTTTCGTTGTGACGTTCCAACGATAAGCAGAGCGCGTCGATTCCCGTAGTCTGCTGATTGCGCGAATCGCCCAACTTGGCTGAAAGAGCCGTAACTACAGAGAAGCGTAGTAGGTCTGACTCCGCCCATACGGCCATCACGGGACGCACTTTTAATGGTTGTGTCGAAGAAGGTTTAAATATACGGGATTTTTATGGGGCTGTTGATGCTGTACCAAGAACCTGCCCCACTCCTGCTACGAAGACGGGTAATAAGCGGTCTGAAGCGCTGATAAACAGGATTATAGGTTTTGCTCTGGGCAACCGGGCGCAACAAAGGCTTTTTCAGGCGCTGATGTGACGTTCATGATACAGCTGGTGCGGAAAACGATGATGATTGCTGGAATACCTAATTATTATTCGAAACGGAAATACAATATGCATCCAAAGGAAGAAAAACCGGATGATGACAAGGCAGCGGTTGGAGCCAAAGAGACTGAGACCGGAAGGGCTGAAGATCAAAAAGATGCAGACGATGATCAGAAAAAGTCTTCAGGCGGTGATGAAAGCGGATCAAAGGTAGTCAGTTCGACGGATGACTGACGACGAGAGGTTCGCCACCCCCTACAGATCCGTTTGTTAATTTGTTTCGATGTTTATTTGATCGCATTCCATCGGGTGAACTTGACCGATCGGCGGATTTAGCGATGTTCTCGATGAGATGAGTCTTTTGTTAAACTCTTGTTCCGTTTTGAATCCAATAAATTGTTTTTGTATATCGATTGCTTCGATTTACTGTATCGTCGGTATGATCGTGTTATGCCTGGGTTTTTGTTTTCTCGTTTCTTTGCGCTCGTATTTTCGTAACGTCATCGTCCGTTACTTACTCGTCGCGAGGTCATTTGAGGTTGTGAATTTTTATTATTTGGTCATTTCATCAAGACCCAAGAGTCATCCAAAGTCAGGCGAGGCATGTGTAGGACTGTAAGTCCGGCACTTATACGCGCGACATTCGCACCAGATCCGTTCAACTTGATCAGTAGCTATAGTCAACTACCTAGGGAATGCTCCACCAATTCGCGCGTGACTCAGATCTCTTGAACTACACTTCCTCCTCCTACCTTCCCCTCGACGCCCCCCCCCCCCACACCCACACACACATGACGATACTCACTTCGCCTCTTTTCGCGGGAAGTTTCTTCTTCGTGGGCTCCCCGTACAACTTCTACACTCCACTTACACCGAATCTTCCTGAAGTTTACTCCACTGGTCTATTATGAGACCCCTACTTTCCAGAACATCTTAAATTTGGAATTCTACACAGTCCACTTTGGTGGGGGCTTTGAAAGGTATCCAGCTATGGTCTTATAGACCCTCTAGAGACCTGTGAATTCGCGTGAACGTGGTGTATTCCTCGGACCATTTTGCAGCTTCACAGGGGTGAACATTTGTATTTAACATGATCTGAAGGAACTGAAATGCGGAATGTCCCCTCGTAGCCGAATAGTCCTTGATAAATCTAATAATAACCTTAGTCTAATCTTTCTAATTGTTCAACGCTTAACCTTTACATTTTTCAAACCCAGTAGACACAACCACGGGCACGGTTAGGAGGCGGAGTGAGGGATGGGAAGGGGGGGGCACGCGGCGAAACTCAGCCGTGCGAGTTCTGGTTATCTGCGCTCTTCTGAGGCTGAACCTGGGGATCGGAAGGATTTT